ATGAACTTGATGACAGTTTGCATGAAGCCGCGACATGCTGAGAGAATCGCTTCAATCGAAGGCGTTGAAGATTGCGCGTAGGCAGGCTGGTCGCGTTTCTCCACAATGGGACGTAGGAGAGTTCGAAGCACCAGAATCTGGACGGTGAAGAACGCAACATGCAACGAGCCTTGAGATTGGACAGAGTCGTCCTCATCCTCACCTTCGTAATCGTCTTCTGCATGCCCGTCCACATGCATCTGAAGCGACTGTGGCAACCCATTCATCCACTCCAAAAGCTGTTGACGAGGCTCCCGCGCTTGTTCGATGAGGCGTTCTAAAGATTGAGGTTGAGATACGGCGCGGAGTGAACTTGCGATATCATTAGCTAGTGTATGCAAAGTTGGCTGGCATGATTCGTGGGAGTAAGAGGTGGTTAGCACAAAGAAGTACTCACTAAAACTGTCGGATAACTCTCCGAGCAATTTCTGTCAAACGACACAGCTGGAAAAAGTATTCGGGCGAGCGTCCCACGTCACTGTCGAGGTCCATCTCAAAATCTGAAGAATCGAGATGTGTGACATTCCAATCATCGTCACTTATCATCAACGCTCTACCGTGTGTGACTGAGCGCCAAGTGTGATCAACAAACACACACCACCATAAACGCCGGCGCAGCCTGATCTCCCAGCGCGGCAGATTCCATGTGGATGGGTCAACGTTCAAGCCTAGAGTCTGGGCAATGCCGAGCATCGAGCATGCCATAGACCACACAAAGGGGGTATCAACGGACACGGGATCGAAGGGATAATGATTGATAAGTAGGATACAAAGCTGCAGGGTCGCCAACTTTGGAAAGTGAAGTTCCTTCTGGAGGTTGGCATAAGCAATCTGCCAGAGTGTTTCTGACGATGGTTTCGTATAGGCGTTATTGAGACAGAATTGTTCATCGAACGAGATGAAAGGAAGAGCCAGCGCGTAGATGGCGGCTAGCAAACCCACAGGCGCCGTCTCTACAAAGGCCGACTCATTCTGGAGAATGGCAGATCTCGATAAAACGGGGAGTGACTCGAAGACAAATCTGAAATATCTTGATGTGTTGTTAGTCCGAGTAAGATAGAAGCAAAGGTTGTTTTGGGGGAAAAGGAGTCTCACAATCGCACAAGAGCAACCCCCATTGTGGAATCTACTAATTGCCGGACATGCTCTCGATCATGGTTCTGAGAGAGGCACCTCTCCGTGAGTTCGACGGCAAGAGATGCAGTCTGGTTGTGGCTCTGAAGTAGGTGCACCGGCGTGCTAAAAGAGCTCTCATTTTGCAAATTTGATGACATGTCAGGTTTGCGGTATACCACGCGGAAAAACTTCAATTCCCCAACGTGATTATAGGGGAAGTGCTGTAGGAAGAAGGGGTCAGACTCATTAGAGAAGCCAATCATCTGCGCTGAGTAGTCTGCTTGATCATCTATGGAGAGGTGAGGGGGGCTGGAAGTATGGTGTGCGTGTGATGACGGCTGCGGCGGGCCAGCAACAGGTGTTTGTTCTTTGTGATTGAGTGTGGTATCGAATATTCCTAAATCTCGAAAGCCATCTTCTTCTGATAAAGATTCAAAGGCTCCCTGGAGAGAGGCGGGTACGGGCTGCATGCTCCAACTATCCTCTCGCCCAGTGGGCCACAGAGAATCAGCGAGTACGCTATCGAGATGAGGGAGGTTCATTCCAGGCGAAAGGCCTGTTAAGCGACTATTTTCGTCTAGTAAGGCGGTCAATAACAGGAGGGGTAACGGAGATACATTGCACAAACCGATCGATGTTGGCATGTCCAGATACTGGTCCTGAAGAGGCATTTCAGCCGGTGCCGTGGCGTCTTCTGTCATGTCTTCGATAACAGAAGGACTGCTATCTATATCTTTATCATCATTGGCCGCAAGATTAAGGAGGCCGTGGATTGAAGTTGTTGGTTGTGGCGCACCGTTTTGCCCTTCCTTTTGTCTCTTGTTGGGGTTGCGAACAAAAGTACACTGCCGACCGAGTCGTGTGCAGAGCTGGCAAGGTTTCTCGGGAGATGGGATGTTGCACAAGGCCTTACGGGCACGACAAAGGTCACAGGGCCGTTGGGATTTGGAGCGGTACCGTCGTGTGCCCGCAGGTGCAGGGAAGCTTCCCTCCGCTTGATGGGTGCTACCAAAATTGCCCGTATCCATGGCGCATCGAAACAAACGCACTAGATGTAAGCATGGATGGCAACCAGTGTATGTCCGGAGGTTCCAGGTCGGCACAAAAATTTTGGTATGAGATATGTTGGGCTGATTGTCCCTCGACAGGAAGTTGAAGTTGGGAAGTTTGTAGTTGAATTCTTGCGTTAATCCGGCGGCTTATCGTGGAGGGTCACGTGACGCCAACTATTAGAGCACCTACTACCAACTTAGCTAGGTACCTATGCGTTATTACAGCCGGTTACTATTATAAATGTCTGAATGAAAGTTATTCTTTCAATGATTTCATTAGATTCTCTTGAGAGATTATGCAAACTGCCTACTACGTGGGCAGCACCTGTAAGTGTTGGGAAAGCGAGAAACGGGTCAAGATGGAGATCAAGTGGTGGTTTGAACTCGAATGCTAAGTCCTTAAAATGATGGAGGAAACTTGGAGCTACCTCGAGGAGATACAAAGGAGATTAACAAGAGAGAAAAAAAAGGACAACTGGGAATTAACACAAAGAGGACAAAAAGGGGATCGAAACCAACCAGAGAAGAGGAGACAAAGGGGGAATGTAAGCGCTTCGTCAATTTCACATTATGCAGTTGGCTGTCGATGTAAGCTTGCAATTAGGCCTGTTCAACCGCTGCCAAGACTTCAAGTTGGCCGCAGCATCCCCCACGCCTGCAGGTACACTTCTTTACCCCTGGAGTTAGTGAATCTCACCTCAAGCTCAGGTGACTCATTTGGCCTTGGATCTGCTTTCTGGGAACTCTTTTTACCCTTGATTCTACCTCTACTTGATTTATCATACCTGGACGCGCTCTTGTAAACACTCGCCCTAGGCCAAGCCAGGACCAACCGCAAGTAAAGAAAGGACTCCCGCCGCTTCTCTACTTGTATGCTTCAGCACTGCATTTGATATGGTGCTCTCGCATTCTCCGTGAGCTTCATCTTTCCTTCTCTGTCTTTGTTTTTGTTGCGATAAAATGGCTCTTCGGCGACGATCGCGTGCTGCCCTGGCGACAGGCGCTCTCATGATGATGTTAATCATGTTGCACTTCCCTGCCCCTTCTCCGACAATCGTTCCCTTCATTCCAGGGTCTGTCAACTGGTCAAAATTTAAGCCATTTCACCCCGTCGACTCGACCAAACTGCTCCCGACCGACCGACCGCAACCACTGCCTCCAGTCCAAGCCGACCGAAGCCTCTTTAAACACACCGAACTGACCGAGCAACGACGTGCTGCCGTCCGCGACGAGTTTCTACGGAGCTACAATGCATACAAGGAATATGCCTGGATGATGGATGAGTTGGCGCCACTCTCCGGCACAGGCAAGACTACATTTGGCGGCTGGGCTGCCACGCTCGTCGACTCGCTCGATACACTGTGGATAATGGGTTTGAACCAGGAGTTCAAAGAAGCCACAGTCGCGATCTCTGCAATGGATTTCTCTGTTACCAAGGAGCGCGGCATCAATGTTTTCGAGACCACGATCCGACACCTCGGTGGACTACTGGGGGCCTATGACTTGAGTGGCGAGCCTACTCTTTTGCAAAAAGCGATGGAAGTTGGGGAGATGCTCTACGTTGCGTTTGACACGCCCAACCGTTTGCCGGGATTTTGGTTGAACTTTGAGGATGCCCGCAACGGCCGACAGGTTGCAGGCACGAACGATCCATCCGCCTCGCCGGCGTCTCTGACATTGGAGATGACACGCTTGTCGCAGCTAACAGGGGACCCCAAGTTTTATGACGCCGCTGACCGGGTGATCCGCTTTCTCGACCGTATCCAAAATGACACCCAGCTGCCTGGCATGTGGCCGCTGACAGTTAATTTCCAAGACGAGACGGCCGAAGGCGACACTTTCTCTATTGGCGCATTGGCTGATTCATTGTACGAGTATCTACCCAAGATGCATGCTTTACTAGGCGGAGTTGACCCGATGTACGAGAGGCTGTATCTGACTTCTGCGGATGTCGTTATTGATACTTTGCTTTTCCGACCCATGGTGCCTGATGACGCCGATATTTTAATTGCTGGCGATGTATGGGTCAACAGTCAAGGCCTGCATCTCAGTCCTGACAGCCAACACTTGAGTTGCTTCGCGGGAGGAATGTTTGGTCTCGGCGGGCGTCTGACTGGAAACGACAGTCATGTGGAAGTTGGGAAAAAGCTGGCCCGTGGCTGTGGATGGGTATACAACGCTTTTCCTACCGGCGTTATGCCTGAAATCTATGGCATGATCCCGTGCGAATCAGCAGAGTCGTGCGAATGGGACGAATCTAAGTGGAAGCCGGATGACAAGTCTGTTCCCAAGGGGTTCTCACATGCTCGCGACCCGCGTTACCTCCTGCGACCGGAGGCGATCGAAAGCATTTTCATCATGTATCGAATCACAGCGGATACTGAGTGGCAGGACCTGGCCTGGAAGATGTTTCAATCGATCATGAAGGTCTCGAGGACGGAACTAGCTAATGCGGCAGTCGACGACGTGACCAATGCTGATTCTCCAAACATCGACTCCATGGAGGTAAGCATAGTAGTTATTTCTTCAAATTTTATTTGGTAAGCGGAACTAACTTCGTGCCTTGTAGAGCTTTTGGCTGGCCGAAACGCTCAAGTACTTCTATCTCATTTTCTCGCCACCAGATCTGATCAATCTGGATGAATATGTGCTTACTACGGAGGCGCATCCATTTAAACGGGCGAAATAATCAGTCGTAGAGTGTTATTTTCTCACGTGGCGTTTTATAGGATGTGGCGTTCCATGGAGTCTCATCGTCGTTTAGGTTTCTAAGACGATGGAAGTAAGTAGAAGCTACAAGATGCTATTGTGAATTCTTTCCTCTAGCCCCATCACATCTGGAATACCTGATTCGAGATCAGTTAACCATTTCAATAATCTCTTCCGGTTTAAGGGATTATCATAGGTCCAGATAGCAATATAAAAGTCTCTCTGCCTTTGACTCTTGTTAAACACTTCTACCCAACGAGGCTGTAAAGCCTGCATAGTATCCATGAATAAAATTCGCAACTGATGGAGCTCCCAAAACTCCAAGTGTTCCCAATAGAGTTCGTTGACCTTCCCCTCTTCGTCGTGCATGTAGGAACTCTTGACGGGCTTGGTTGTACAGTCTTTGCCATCTAAGAAACCGGGGTACTGGCAGGCTATGGAGAGGGGGCAGGCAGATGTCCCTTCCCAGTCGACCACACCGGACAATCTCCCTGATGCGTCAACGATGATATTCTGCTTGTTCATATCGTCGTGCATGATAATTGTTGGTTCCGGGCTTGTCTCAGGAAAGAAGCTGACGATTTGACCCCTCAATTTAGCGATGATTATGAGTGACGTCTCAAGATCTTCGGGGTCCTCCCCTTCCTCATCATCGGAGCGGGCTAGTTCGAGGCGGTACTTGCAGTCTGCCTCTGCTGCGTCAATCAGAGCGGTTATCCAGTCCCTGCATGAAGTAAAGGGGCCTCGGTGAACTTGGATTTTGGGGTCTCTAACATAAAATCCAAAGGATGTTGATTTTCCGATGTGCATGGTCTGGCCTTCAGAGGAAGAACTATCATATAGACTTCCGATAGTATCCATTTGATGGGAAAAGGTGTCGGAATAGAACTGCGCAACCTGGCGAACAAGATGTTCCTTGGCGGTAAAGTCCATCTCCCTCCAAGCATCGCTTAGAGTCTTCCCTGCCAACTTTTCCATAAGAATCCACTCAAATCCAATTTGATCTGTGCGATGAGATTGATATGCGAGAATCTTCGGAACGGGGAGAGAAGTATGATGTTGCACCCAGCGAATTGTTGCTACTTCACTCTTCGTTTTCATCTCTGGCAGAATAGGCATACTGATACGAATCACAGCCGCTGGGTTATCAGTGCCCACAGAGTAGACCCTATTGAAAGTACCCTTAGCCAAGAGCTTAATAGAATCAGGGGATTGCCGCTGGAGACCGAGCTGAACTGTCTTCTGGATGGCGTCTTCATCAAACTCGATGGTCCACCGAGGCTCGAGGCCCCAGAGGGTGGCTACCCACTCAAAACCGGAGGTTTGTGAGCCGCTCATTGATGTTGAGGAAGATGTAAAACAGAGCAGGAAGTCTTGTGCAGGGAGTATCCTAGGGCGGAAAGTTAGAGAAACCGAAAGCTGAAGAGAGTAACGGGAAGAGTCATCTCAAGAAAGGTTTGGCGCGTGTTTTGTGCGTGTTTTTGTGCGCCAGGTGAGAATAAGAGTGGTCCGATCCTTATGCCTGTCACATGACGTTGCTTACATCCAGAGAATTAGTATGAATGAAGGGCTAACGAAGCATCGATGACAGGATCTTCCCTGGCCTCTTAACCTTGTTTAAAACTCCACTACTCGCTGTGCTGACAATCTGCCAAGGACTCGGCTATAACTATTCGAGGAACGGGCACGGCCAACACCAACGCCTTTAACATACCTAAGCAAACATCTATGATATCTCTATCAATTTACTAGCCGACACGGATTCATCGGAATGGAGGAGACTGCAGAACATCGAAGGATAGTATTTACATTGAAGCGAGTCCAACCTAACCTAGTTCCACAGTAAACTTCCTTCAGCTCTCGGCAGTCAGATGGAAAACGCCTTGCCGTCTGATCCCCTCTTGAATCCAGGCACATTAACAGCGGCAGAAAGCGGTGCGGCCATCCGGTTGCGACTCGCAGCAGCCTGCATTGCACTTGGCCGAGAGCTCTAACTGATTGGCTCCGTTGCAGACGAAGATCCAATCGCCCTCGCACCTGTACTGGCCCGCCGTGCAAGGTGTTGGGATGCTGCTTTGACGCGGTGCGATGTTCATGACTTGGTCGGCGGCCTCAGCAACTGGCGTTGCCGAAACCAATGTGAATGTGGCGAACGCCGCGGTGAGGATGTTGTAGAATTGCATCTTTGTTGTCTTTGCAAAGCTTGGACCTTGGTGGCGTGTAGGTTGTATGATGCGCTGTGATTGGAGCAATTTGGAATTGAATGGTTCGAGGCAACAAAGTCAAGGAGAGAGTACTGATCAGGTTGAGCGCTCATGACCGACTGATGCGGTGCTGGATGCTTTTATACTTCATGAACTCTACAAAAAGTACCTGTTCAAGTCCCACCTTTTATGACTTTGCCCCTGATTTCAAGGTATCAGGTTAGTAGGGGTCGCGAAGATGCCTGTAAGAGATTTATGCTAGCAGATTTTGCTTATCATGCCATAAAATAAGCCTTTTGCAAGAGGGAGTTTGGCCCGATCAATGGATGGGCCGCCAAAGTCCGCCAACGCCCTCCCAACAGCTAATCGCTGTAGACCTGACCCAGCTGTTGCAGCCAACAGCTGTTAGCGGTTGATTTGGACACTGGAGCCCTGACCTGGCTGTTTTAACCCACCTACAGCACAAGCACACTTTAGACTTGTGAAATTTTTGGGGAGCCAAGAGGAGTTAAGTATGTGAATTGGGCATGCATGGACGGCGAAGTAGATCTGAATTTACCAACGGGTGAAGAGGGGGGCGGGGTGGAGTGACAACTTCTCGAATTCTGGCCAAGGGGCTACGTGCGCGCATCGGATCGCCGAGAAGATTTTAGCTCGGTGTATTGAAATGTCTGGTTGAAGAAAAGTGTGAAGCTGTGTGTGTCATAGCGAGGTAGATGAATGAAGGTAGGATACATGGGGATCTATCGATTCGCTCATCCCGACGGTAAGTTTATCGAGTTTTCTTTCTGCATGGCCGTAGCCTTAGCCTAGTAGAGCGTCTATCTTTTTTTTCTGTTTCGGCACTTTACATCATTGTGTTAAGATGTCGGGCTTGACATCATCCATTGCCGTTTGTTTACGTTGTACTCGAATCCTCTTGCCCTGTCGTGTCTTATTTAGCAAATACATAGTACTGAAGACTAGTGGTAGACAAATACTATGTAAGGGAGAAAGCTTTTAAAAACAGGGTTTGATCTTGTCATGAAATCTTCCGTCTTCTCAGTATGTCATATATGATCGTGACCGGGTCAAGAAGGGGGACATGCCTCATAAAATTTGTTGAATGATGGTCCGAGTTTCCCATTCCTTGTCGTAAATTAAACACATCTTCCATATAATTCTTACCCTACTTATGGCTATCGAAAGTATAGAGTAAAAAGGGTCGTTCACTTAACTTGGAGTAGAGTTGAGGATTGCTCCGCTAGGCAACACCAATATAGAGTTCGCAACATAACCCAGATTGCCTAGCATGCCAAGTCTAGCTTTTCTAGAACGGCTCGTATATATCATAAGGTTAGGGTTAAAAAGATATAAGATCCGGTAGGCCAGGAATTGCGAGAAAAAAATGCATGGGCCCATCTCAAAAAAATAATTAAAAGGTCGCCATATCCGTGACTTACATGGATGTCTAAACTGCTTAACATCTACCTCCAGACATCCAAAATAACGAACTGTTACCTCCAATAAACCTCCATCACCCCGTCTCAAAAATGAATTCAGAAACCCTCGCGACGGAGTCCTCCGATTCTTTGAATCGTTTTACAGATTTCTCTAAATTGCCCACCGAGTTACGTTGGACCATTTGGCGGATGGCTATCTGTTCTGATCCCACCCCGAGAATTCATTATTATTCATTGTTCAACGATGATATCGAGGGACATCGACAAACCTTCTTACGTTCTATGTTAACCGACAAGCCTACCATGGCTGAGGAGCCACGCGTCCGAAGGGATGGGGAGAAACTCCCTCTATCGCCCTATCCAATGCTACGTACGAAGCCACAAAAGTCACAACCCTGGACCAAGGCTAATCGTTTACTCTACTATTGGGATGCTGGCCTACGAACTGCTTGCTGGGAATCCCGCGCTGTGCTTCTCCATCACCGTGGCAAGACGAAGAGAAGGCGGGTACATACTGGAGGCGCGGAATGCCCCACACACAAGGACGTTGTTGCGACATGCAATCGGGATCAGCGTACCTGTATTGACATATGCAGACGTGATATTGTATGCCTCCGATTTGCACCAGAGGATTTGCGTATCTGTGCTACCATGCGATGGGACGTCTTGTTCCCTCGGCTTCCCTTCTTCTGCCTTCCTAAGTACTCGGGCATCAATATTGCTTTTGAGTTCGACGACAGCTGGAATGATGGTTTGGGACACAGCCAGAGTTCCTTGCTCGAGCATCTCTATGAACCATCCATTAGGGGGCTGGTGCTAAGAGCATGCTGGGCGTGGGGATCCGCCTCCATCCCTCGATCAACTCGGATATGGTTGATCGACCGGGGAGGACGGCTCCCTGCCAATTACGATGTTCGAAAAGGATTGGATTACAGGTACCACCTTGATGATCTTTTCGGTAAAGAGCGAATACCTTACCAGCATACGAAAGATGATACAATTTTCATTGATGGAAAGACGAAATATGTGGAATGTTATATGTGGGACTATCCTCGCCAGTATTACGGTTATAATGTTTGCCGGTTTGATGTGCCAGTCTCACGGTTTATTTGGAAGCTGGATACTTTCTGCAGGCCTGGGCATCAACTTTACATTGAACGACATAAACAACTATTCAGAGTCTTGCGCCCACTACCAGGCACCGATGGAACTGGATGAGAAAACTAAATTCGTGTGGTTTTACTATGTTATTTACCGTGGTCAAACTTAAATTGACAGTACCTACCCTGGTTATCCATTTCCACCTCGCCTTGCTGTTTTGAGTGAAGGTTTTACGATGCAACATAACAATAAGTAGGCTATGAAGCAAAAGTGAACTTCGGTATCATGGATTTCGAATTGGTTGAGTTCTCTCATTATGGCTGCATGGTGTGGCTAATGTAACCTAATAGTGGAACCCTCAGCATATGACGACTTGGGCAAGCTATTTCAATCTGATTAGCAGTGTCAATTTCAACCAAGTTCGACTTTGGGAGACATACCATGTACGGGGGGGATTCCTACGAGATCATCGTTGGCAGTGTTTTAATGTATCATTAGTTTAGCGCTCAGGCAGGATGTTGGATGGAGAAACTTGCGTCCGACATGATGGTCAATCTACTGGAACATTGCAAAAGCTTTGTTAACCAGAGAGTATTATAGTAATTGATCACTCTGGCTAAGGTAGAGGAAGATACTACTGTGGCTGCCTGAGGTGTCAAAGCTGCCTCAGGTATCGACCGGACGGGGTCGACATACAATGTAAGGTCGAGGAAGGAGCTCTTCACGTTGCCCCTCTAAAGGTTCTGTCGCCTCCTTTCTAGGGGACTTTGGACCACGCTCCTTCTGTTAACATAGCAGAATCAACATCCTGCCCCCCACAATATCGTCATCCAGAATGACTATTCTATACGTGACCCTGAATTTTCCTCGGTGGCAGCGGGAGGTTTGGGAGTGGGAGCAGGAGGTGGATGGGGACAAGAAGGAGGTGTGGGAGCGGGAGAGGGCGGCGCGGCGCCGCGAGAATGTGGTGGCTGGCCGTGAGAATGCGGTCAGAGATTGAGAGGTGATGGCCGGCCAAGAGGACCGGAGGCTGGAGGGATTGGCGGTTCGCCTCCAAGACAAGGAGGCGAACTTGGAAGAGTGGTAAAAGTCACTGGAGGAGTGGTAGGGGGCGGAGGGGGATGGGGAGGTGGGCGAGCCTTGTGGTCTTTTTGCTAAGAGATCCACGTAAGTTCTATCCCCATTCTGGCCACTTGTTTGATCCTGCAAGAACAACTGCTAATTCGTGTATAGGTTCTTGACAGTTTTCACGAGGTGCGCCTGCAAGTCTGCTTTTCCTCTGCTTTGCAATGGAATGTCCGGCGCGAGATCCTGGTAAGTATTAGAATGGTCTACCTAGGTAAAAATGCATGACAAGTTTAACAAGAAACAGCGCCAAATTGGCCAGCGCAGCCCAGTCCGGCCCAGTCCGGCCCAACAAGCTTGAGCCAGAGCCAGAAGAGCCGATCCCATCCGTGGAGTCCCCCATAGCCACCGCCAGCCAGCCCGAGGAGCCCGCCGTGCCAGTTGACAGCGACTGGACCCTCAGCGAGACTTCCCTGCAGCTCAGAGTCAAACTAAGTCTAAGTGCCCCTCTCCGTATATTGTATTCTTGCGGTAGCAAGTGGGTGAAATAAAATATGGCACATCGAGATAGTTCAGCATTGAATCTCAACACAATATCACAATAAAGAACCTAGTACTGAACACAATATCGAGCTAAATATTATAGAATATTTTTCTACTCTATAATTATTCTCTTATTATTATGTCTAGTTAAAGAACGAGATCCCTGCCTTGCGCGAAAAGAGCTTTGGTGTGCCATGTTTTATTCCACCCAACTGGTAGCCCTCTTGATGTCTATAGCTCTGTAATTATGGGAGATGAGAAAACAAAAGACAAAAGAAAGAAAAGACAGCCTGTTTAAGCCAAATGTAGGGAAAAAAAAACCAGCTATGTGAGTATGCGAACTTTAGTTGTCTGTAGACAGAATGTCCCTGTGAACTTTAAGCCTTCGCTTCTTCCGATGATGTGCTACCAATGTCCACTTTTTCCTTGAACCCATATTCAGTGTCGAGCTCATTCCTGAGGGCCACCTTCTTCTCCATGAAGACAAACAAGAAGACGATTACCGAGAATCCCAGGCCGACTTGCCATGTTCGCCTCAAACTCTGGTCAAGGGTGGCAATGAAATCCGTTCGGTTCTCACCAGACAGCGTCTTCAAAAACGCAGCCGTGGCGTGCTCATAAGCCCGACCGCCTGTCACCTGTGCCCTCAAAGTTTCATCAGCGATGGTGCTGCCCGCCAGCTCGTCAAACCGGTTGTTAAAGATGGCTGCCGGGATAGCAGTTCCCCAACTCATGCCGAAGCTGCGGAAGAAGGACCAGGTTCCCGTTGCGAGCCCCGTGTCGGCATCAGTGAGAGGGGCCAGGATAGCAGGCAAGAGGGTAGGTATTATGACGCCCATACCGATTGCTTCGATGATCTGGAAGCCTATCCAGGCACCGGCGGACGAGTTTTCGTCGAGGAGGGTGAACAGGCCGAAGCCAATGATGGCAATAGCAGTAGAAATGTAGTGAATTGGGATGTAGGCACCAAACTTGGAGAGGAGCACGCCGCCTGTAGCAGCAGCTGGTACCATGACCAGAATCGTGGCTAAGAGTTGTAACCCTGAAGTGCGAGGGGAGGAACCGAGGACTCCCTGGAAGTAGACGGGCAGGAAGTAAAGCGTCCACATTGAGATGATGGCGTGGAAGAATGTGATGAGGTACACTGCCGCCGATGTTCTGTTGGACAGCAGACGAAGAGGCATCATGGGCTGTTCCGCGAAACGAGAAGCCTCAAATACCAAGAAACCAGCTAGACCTGCGAAACCGACCAGAAGTGGCACCAAGATCTGGTAGGATTTCCAGGAGTAGACGACCCCGGCCCATGCCAGCGCTATGAATATCGAGGACACAGCTGCTATGAATATCACATTCCCAGTCCAATCAAGCTTCTTTAGTTTGGAGGCCAGTGTCGTGTCTCTGTTGAAGTTTGACGGCAGCACGAGCGTGAGTAGGAAGAGTGCAACGGCTCCTATCGGCAGGATCATGTAGAACACCCAGCGCCATGTCGTCGAGTCGACGATCAAGCCGCCAAAGAAGGGACCGAGGGCTGTCCCGACACTGACGAGCCCGAATATTATGGCCATGTATTTACCCCTCTCGCGGAGCGGTAGAAGGTCGCATATGATAACTTCGATAAAGACGTTGATGCCGCTTGCGCCCACACCTTGTATAACTCGACCGGCAATCATCATGGTCATGTTGGAAGCGCCGCCACAGAGGCCACTTCCAAGGACGAACAGAGCAGTTGCAGCTACCATGGGCCATTTTCGACCGAAGACATCGCCTAATTGTCCGAACAGAGGTTGCAGAGAGGTCCTGACGGAAAGGGTTAGCTCTTATTCATAGTATAAATGGGATTGTAGGCACATACAAGGCAACGAGGTATCCGTTGATGGCCCAGATGTAGGCATTTCCGCCACCCAGTTCCGCAATGATGGATGGCATTGCAGTTGATGTGATGGTTGCTTCCAGGGCTGTGAGCAATCCGGCGAATCCCAGGGCGACGATGGTGATCCAGAACCTTTGGCCTTTTTTGACGGCGGTCGGGCCATCATTGTTGGTGATGTTGGAAACTTCGACCCCGTCGCTTGACTTGTTTGTCTCATCGGCCACCCCCATTTTGAGTCTGTTTTGTCTCCTTGACGAAGGAATGTAATGGCTTTGAAGTCCGAACAGGGGTTGATCTAGGTGACCTTTTGGGCTGTGCTATGCAGACAGATGGGATTGAATGTCAGACAAGCATGCTGAATCTTCCAGTTATATAGGGACTACCAGAATTTCACAGTTTCATCCCTTTATTCCACACCCGGCTGCCGTCGAAGCTCCTTAGTCTGAATTATCGGGAGTTTTGATCAGACACAGTCGGGAATTTGCCTGATCGAGTTAGTACATCGGGAATATCATGTTTTGGAGGATTCAAATTAGCGATTCGCGACTAATAAGCGGGGAGCTGACTGAGTTCTCGCCCCCACGTCCACCTCCCCCTTGCTTTCTCTCCGTCGGCACGTCCGCAGGCAACTTAACATCATTATGAATCCGCCGCGGGTGCAGTTCTCAAGACGACCGGCATGCGACAGGTGCCGAGATCACAAGCAAAGATGCATCCGGCCAGATGACGAGTCGGTCGACGCGTGCACTCGTTGTCAACGAGCTAATCTCCCCTGTGCTATTTCAGGTGGTCGTCGGCGTGTAGGGCGTCCTCGAGCTTCGGCCTCCACGTCATCGTCGTTGTTAGGGTCCAACTCGCAGCACGTCACGGAAGCGATGCCCACAACTTCACAGCCAACGCAGCTCTTAGAGCACCCATCGACAGCGACTCCTCCCGCCGACTCTACTGCCCTCATTCTCAATGAAGATGACTTTTCATATAGCCCGGGCTCTCTTGAGTTCTTAGATTTTGAATTCTCGACCAGCAACTCACCACATTCTCCCGCGCTGAGTATCTCTCAGCATCCGGATCTTTCGGCCCCGATATTGCTCGCGGAACAAGTGCAGGCTCATCCTTTGAATCCTCAAGAACACGAAAAACTAGTCAACATTAGAGATCTTGAACTAAGCAGACGCGGTGTGGTCAGAGGATCGCCACAACACCACACAAGTATCACCAGACAACCCCCAGGCGCGGCTGAACCGAGCGGCACCAGGATGCTCCAAAGACTCGCCCAGCTGAATGTTGACGCGAGCAAACAGATATCGAGCCTGGAGCTTTTCATGTGGGGCGGACCCGGGGTGCTCGACTACTGCAGCGAGGCTCACAAGAACCCACGGTTTGATCCCCTTGCGCACATGTTGACCACCACGGCCGAGCTCGGCAACATCGTTGAGGAGTTCATGCCGCTGCATACCAGCGTGCCAAAGGCGGCCGACAGCCTCACCATGCCCATTGCGCTCTTGTGCGTGTCGTGCTACCTGCAGCTGCTGCACATCTTTGACTTCACCTTTGGCCGTGTTCATAAGCTTTTGAGCAGCGTCCCGGATATCGACCAGTTCTTCGATCAGGCACCCAAGTTTACGCTTCACCCGGGCTTGCCCCCCGTAAAGGGGCGGTTCTACCTCAAGATCATGGTGCAGACGATTAAGCATCAGCTGGGTAATGTTGAACAGCTCCTGCGTCTTCCTCCGGGGACATCTGTTATAGGGAGATCTGTACCCGAGTACGGTTTTTGTGTATCGACGATATTCCATATTGCAATGGAGCAGAGTCGCGACATGTCCAAAAGAACGACTGGTGTGATGGTGGAGTCTATAAAACGCAACATAGATTATATCTCGAGTTTTGCAGCAGAATAATGTATTTGACGTTTGTCATATAGAAAGTGATTCATTTTTGTGTTTGAGAAGTGAGCAGCTGGACAACTGACTCGTTCACGACTGTCGTATGCCTTTGCGCAAAAGTGTTTATGCTAGATAGAACAAAAATCGCGAAGCCCATTGGGTGAGCTATTTGCGTACACCGGAACGCCTACAAGGATTGTGAAAATCGCTGAAGCATTCCGTGATAAAACTTATGCGATGGGGGTTGTATTTCTTGTGTTCACACTCACTCGTTAGCTGTTGAGACTGCTATAAAAACCGACTTAGCTGTTACCTCTTCAGATAAAATTGCAGTCATTAAGCCATAGTCTACGTAGACTAGGATATATCTTCAATTTATTTATTGTGATTATTTACCTAGGAAATGTAGAAGCAAAGCGGCCTTTGAAAGAGCAGGTTGTCCGGGAAATGGATTAGGGATATTTCTCCCTTCCCCCAACGTGAGGTACGTGTATGAAAACGTCATATGAGGAGGACTTGATTACTTGACTATAGCAAATGCAGATCTTCCTTTACCCCGAGTAGCTTCGGCGCCAGGTTTTGGTCATGACTATGCCATGTGGACTGTCTTATGTCCCATTCTGGTATGAGCACTCCTTCTAGAAGGACATTATTAATGTGCAATCCCAAAAGGCACTGAAGGGCTTGAAATGACATTGCTTGGCGATCTTTCTGAGTCAGATTATACCCCCATTACCTAGCGCCAAAGACTGGAAGTAGAATCCCAAGTGGTGGTCTTCGATGATGCACCTAAGCTGATGGTTGCATCAGAGTGCCGGGGGATGGTGGTGCTCGGCACTCGCAATGGAAGAGGGAATTGGTTCCTGGTTCCGTCCCTGCCGAGAGGCGCGACAACACAGTCAGAACTGCCAGAATCTGGGCTGGTTCGCGGATTTGCAGCAGACAGATTCAGGGATGTAAATGTGGTTTCTGACCACTCGCGACATCATCCGCTCTTAGGCGCACAGATGCCATTATGCTAGGCTTTGTCAAATGCCCTCAAGAGTCAGGTCCCCATTAGATCAATATGGACCCTTTTCAACATATCTTATGCCTAGATCTGTCTAGCGAGTGTGAAGGGAGTATAGGGCAGTGGCTCGCGTGATCAGAACCAGGGCGGAAAATAACCTACAGAGTAGCGTCGCCTTACTCCCAGAATAGCATGAAATAACCTGCTTTATCCGTGTATTTGGCCATTCACAGCGCTCCCAGCACTTGTCTAATAATCCGCATGAGCTAGCTCGATGCCTAATGCAATATTGCACTGCCACCAAGCAGGTTCTGGTGAGCTACTAACCGAGCTGCGGGGCGATTCCGTAAGAAGGCCGTAAGGTGGAGAGTCGAGATGACTTCTAGCTTGGTAACATCACAGAACCAGCCAATGCGAGAGTTCATCATTCTTTCCAAGCCATTTGTCATGCAGTCGGCCGCCCCGCCAATACTGCGGCTGATCACAACACACACAATCGCAGCTATTATTATCGGGAGCTGCATTTCGTCTGAGGTAAGGCTCGTGAAAAGATCCTTGGTGTTGATTGCCATGTCCATCTCACCACGTCTGAGATCCACGGTGACATTGTGCCATGTGAGTTTGCGCCCAGAATAGCAATCTTAGTTCGTTTGAGCTGCCGGTAGACATGTCAGTATCGTCAGATTGCATGTCCCACGGCAGTCCATGTCAGGTACTGCCGGAGTAAGATCAGGGGCCGGTGGCTTCAGGAATCTCATCCCCTTCACCAGCTATATAACCCATCATTGTTCACCTTGTTCTCAGCTGGAACATCAGAACAAACACTTTCAATTTCAAACATCTTCCAAAACCATCTCTTCACAAGCAAGCCTTATTTCAAAGTTCTTTCAACTTTCTCACATCCACATTCACCATGCGCTTCAACGTCATCCTCATCGCTGCCGGCCTGGCCACCACCGCCGTCGCCTCCTCATACAACAACTACAACTACGCCCGCGACGTTGAATCCTACGACGACGAGGTATACACCCGCGATGTCTACGAGCGCGACGAGGAGCTGGTAGCCAACTTCCTCCGCAGCCTCGATGACGACCAGCTGGTCGCCATTGCCCGCCGCAACCCTGGCGATGCCGCCAAGAAGGCCGTCAAGAACGTCAAATACGCCGGGCACCAGGCCAAGGGCAACTTCAAGGGCGCCGTCAACCGGGTCCTGCCTTTCGTCAAGTTCAAAAACCAGGTCAAGAAGTCTGGTGTTCGCAAGCCCATCTCTAAATAAGCGCCTCGATCAATCTTGAGACAGGAGAGGATTTAATAGGGGAATGGGGAAACACTGTATTACTATGGAGGCTACTTGATTAAACAATGGGATTTCTTTTGTTCTTGAAATTTGTGCTGTTGCACCCTTTGCATCTAGATTTATCAAACATTTGCTAGCCATCAGTCTTTTAGACTTCTAGAAATTTACCATGTTCACTACATACTACTTTGTCTAAAGCTCGAGACCCAAAAGTGGCTTTCAAAACGTGTCATGCAATGTCATGCAATTGCCCATTGGCTCATTTCTTATTAAGTAAACTAAACTAAACTGAACTGAATTGAATTGAATTACAAAGAGAATTAGCCCCAGTTGTGCCAATGCCGAAAGTGCCCCAGAACAATATCAACATATAGACTCATAGGCGTCTCCTCCAACACATGATCGAGGCCACAGATGTCCAAGCTATCAATATCATCATTGATACTGACCCGACGCAGCCGCGGTAGTCTAGTGCGATAGCTCTTATCCAACTCCACGAGCAGGTCCATGACCCCCTGCTCCGGCCACTCCTCGTCTTCATCCGGCATCCAGGGCACCGCCTTATCGAACAGCAGCGCGGTTGAGAGGAATAGCACCTGGACGCTGCGAGGGACGTAGTGGCTCAGTGGCTTAGGCCACGGTCCAAACCCCGCAAGACACACTAACGGCACGTCGAGGTGGGTTACGCGATCGAAATGGACGAGGTCCTCAAAGGATCCCGAGACGCATAGCGTCGGTTCATACTCAGGCGAGTAGCCGTTGGCGATGCATATCCTGAACTGGAACTTCTCCAAGGTCCCACGGACAGGCGACAGTGTCGTGATGACTTCATCCAAGTTGAGACTCCTCGTGACCCATGGATCGCGAGTGTTGTATGAGTAGTGACATGCCCAAGCAAGCGACTTGAGGTTGGGGGTGAGAGCCAGTATCCTGGACACAAAGTTTGGACAACAGCCTTCAATGTCAAGTGATGTCAGGCGGTCCAGGTTGGGCTTCCCGTCTAGCCAGCGGAAGATCGCAGGGTTCCTGACCCAAACGGCCAGGTTTGTGACGGTGGGCACATAGAAGAGAGCCATTCCATCCTTGGAGCTCTGCTCTGGAGAATAGAAGGGCTCCTCGCCGTGTATATAGACCATGTGCTTGAGCCGATAGAACCTGGGTAGCCCGCCGAGCGCTTTCGCCTGGAGGACTTTCCCGATCAGGTCCGTCTTCCGAACAAAGTTGTAAGTGATGGTGAGATTGGTCGTCCAGGAGAGACGGGTAAGCAGCAAAGCGGCAAACGCGCCCATGCTGCCTGACCAGAGCTCCCGCACCCACTGGTTTACGAAGGGCACGTTGAATGTTGCTATGATGGGCGCGAACTGCCAGAATGCCTCGGTGACTTGCGCATCCTGCAAAGGAAGGGGTTCAAGGTTGTAATAATGGTCATGGCCCAGTAGTGAAAGGGTATCGATGTAGGCAAACAACTCTGGTCTCGCAATGAGGGTCCGAAGTAGTTCGATGATGGGAGGTCGTCGCTGATGATCCCAATGGAAGCGTATGTGGGAGTATATTGACGGCTCACAGTAATAACGAAGGGCTTGATTGACCAAACAAACTTGTAGGAGACTGCGCTTGGGGACGAAGTCCAAGATATGATAGATGAGTTCACTTGGGAGGTTCATAAACGCCGACATCTTCGCGTTTGGTTCGGGTAGGTGTACTTGTTGGTGAATTCAGTAGCGCTTGGGTTGGTTTTTTGGTCGACTTGAAACTAGATGAAATATGAAGAGGGGTCGGCTAAGATATCGAGGGCGCTTGAGGGCTTTTGTAGCCTTTGCCCGTAACAAATGTACGCGCGCTTAGAGCGACTGCTCAGCCAACAGATACCACCGCAGCATCCGCCAGCCTGTTGACAAGAACAAGCATGTTTCGGGGGGTAGCATTTGTGGAAATACAGCCAATGTTCCTCATCTACAGCAATTATTAGAGACATCACCTTACCATTCCGCTACGGATGATAGGCAGTTTCCCTCTTGAGCATTTCGTCCCAGTCTGGATGCCACTTCCGTTGCCTGAGAGGACTTAGTAAACCGGTGTTACGAATCTGCTGCCTAAAGGAGTCGTGTGGCGGCTATTCTCGTGATCTGTTGGTGATATGGCGGTCCCGTTGGCATATGTTGGAACAATGGACATTTCAGCTCACAACCGTCATGCAACACACCCTTGATGAATCACTATCACAGGAAGCAGGCACACGACTTCGGTCATGCACAAGTACATGCTGTACTTCTAAGCTACAGCCTTTATCACTTAAATGACTGATTAATGAAGTTAGTCATTAGTTCATGTGGCCTCGCGGCTCAATCTTACTTGTAGATAGACAATGCGCCTGATGTTCCCTGCATCTGCAGCCACTCCAGAACGACAATTTCTCAAGCAACAGTCGCCTTGTGAACGCCTGACATCCATCAGCCTTTGGGGTCCGCCAGAGATGTCACGTTGCACTGTTTGTTCGCTTAATGAATGGCTGACGAGTAGTGGAATCAATAGGCACATCTCAAAGGTGATGGAGGGTATGCGCAATGTGCAAGTATATCCCCTAATAACCGAGACCCGAGTGATATCCAAAATGTTGCCTCGGGGATCTCTCCCCCGAACCTAATGAGCTAAAGCTGGAAACCAAACTCCAAGAAACAGTCGCTATTTTCCCAATTTCGCCCGGTAAAACTTCCCTGTGCATTTCAAATTCGATGATTCTGTGGGTGCTGGCCGGAGCCCAGGCGGGCGCGTTTAGCAGATGGCATCAGCCGCTCCAGTTCTTCTGCGACGACTCTCCGAACCGCTTCCCTGTCGGATGTGGCGCTTATCATACCAGACGGTTGGCTGTGGGTTGGTAGAGAAGCGCCGAGGCGTTGCGGCCCCCATGTCGGATGTGACGGGTGGGCTCCCAATACAGATGTTGGCAAGGGCCGTTTGGATCCCCGTTGGTGACCATCGGGACACCAATCAGGGGCGCGGCCATTCATGGGCTGTGCTGCCGGTTGGTTCACGAACTCCCAAAGCAGATCAGGAAGCATGCCCGTAACCATTTCTCGGAGGGCAGGTTCAGGGGCCACGGATTGTCGGGGGTTCTGATTGCGTGTTATGGCTGTATGTGACTGAGCTGATGGCTGTCTCCGCTCAACATGACGTGGCGGGGAAGTAAGGTCAATGAGCTCCATTCCTTGAGAACCAGCCTGGGCTCCGCGTCGCGGCCTATTCCGAGTCTGCCTGGGTTGAGGTTGGTTGGATGATTCAGGGGTAGGTCTTTCAAGGGATCCCGAGAAACTCCGCGACATAGGGGAGGGCGCAGACTGGTTCTGGAATCCACTATTTGCTCGATCTTCTGTAACATCAGCTGGATCGACGATTCTTTGAGACGATGCTGTGTGCGATCGCGGGCCTGTGAATCTTCTGAGGGGTGTGGACTATATAGGACAAGTAAAAAGGTAGTCAATAGAAACTCTCGTAGGATAGAAACACAATGGGAGATTCTCACAATTGCTCTATGGCCACTCCAGAAGGCATCGACATGTTCCCTCAAGATATGCTTCCGTGCAGTGACCACGGGTGGGCTTTTCGTACGGTCAACTTGCAGCATTGAGCTCATTGTATGAGCACACGGAATTCCATGTTGGGTTATCAAACTCTTCGTACAAGGTTTGAGGGCCTCCCCAATAGGATCAATCAAAGAGTCACGCGCCATACAATACTGCTCATAGGCCATGTCGATTCCTTTTTCCGAGATGACGTCGTGAATGTCATAGAAAAAATCAACGGCCGCGGCCTTGTTTTTGCGACGATTGCACTCCATCACTGCTCTCGCGGCATACTCATGGGTCATATACTCGCACTGTTCCGACGCCTCCTTAGCCAAAGTCAGAAGGTTGGGGGCTGGGGTCTGAAAGTAACTTCGCGCTTTGGACTGAAAACCTCCTTTTGGTGTTGAGTTGTCGACAGCATAGTTTCGATATTTATTAGTGTAGGCCCGAGCCCATTGTTCTGGAAACGGGAGGTATGTCCCTTTCAGGTATTCAAGGAGACCTAGGCGCCAGGAGATCAGAGGTCTTAGCGAAAGTACTCAACTGATAAAATCAGTGTCACTCACTTGTCTGGGAAGCAAAGTCAGTCTGCAGATTTTCCCATGCATCTTCAAACTCGGCAACCGAAGAAGCGAATACAGTACGCTTCCAAGCCATGAGAAAGTCGTTTCGCCCGCTTCCTTGATTCTCCTGGCGTGGGACAGTCCCATCCTCTTTGGCTAGGTCACTCTGTTTCATCAAAGCCCCCTTGCCTTTCGCACCTGTCCAGAGCTCCTTTACGACTCTCAAGATGTCTTTTGAAAAGTGAGACATACACAACTGTGTTTTTGCTTCAGGGAAGGCATGTTTGAAGCCATCGGCAACATCCGGGTTGATGTTGGAGATGATCACCGTGGGTTGACGTTCCGGATCCCTGACTTCGGAAAATCGTTCGATGAGCCATTGGTAAAAAGAGGCATGGTCTGAAGTTGTGACCGCGACGGCGATCGGGAAGGTGGTCCCCCGTGCTGTGTAGCCATTGATTTCCGCCAACTTCCAGCTTTGAATTGCGTGTTGTGTGACATTGATGAGCAACAGCTGGAAGAAACCTCTCCCCATCGCATCTTTTGATGGGTCTTCCGAGCCAAGCATGAAGAACTTTGAATCTGGCCGGTTCCTTCCATCATGTCTCGTGTGATGAACTGCGCAGGTCTCGGTGAGGTAGTCGTCAAGCTCCTGGATGAATATAAACAGTCCGCCCGATTCGAACCTGAACTTTTTCGTGATGCTGCGAATATCACGTATCGAGACACGATCCATGCAAGGGGTGAAACGTTCTTTAACGAGGCTCAGTATAGATTCATCAGAACTGCCCTGGGCACACTGTTCCCGAATGAGATCAATATGCTCCTGCTCAAAGTCTGAGACGCGAATTTTGCAGAGGTGTAAGAGATCCCGTGGGCCATGCGTGTGGGGTTGGCGGCCACTTAATAGCCTCCATGTTGGCTTTTTCTCGGGATCGAGAGCAAAGTTGACAATACTCATACTAAATGGACACGAATCCTCAAAGTACCACTCTGCAGGGGAGGGTGCATCTATTGAGTCAAGCCCATCTGGGGAGATTGTATGACAACTTCGGTGACAGAACAGCTTCTTGCTACCTCGTGAACCGTAACCTACAGGCTTAGAAAGGGCGTAGCCCTGCTCAAAGGCAAAGTCATCGGCAGCTCTCCAGGCGCTTTCGGGGCTCTCATATGTCGATGTGGTGTCAGGTGCTAGGAGACCCATGGGTATCAGTACTGCAACGTCAAACAACTCTAGAGTGGTGGTCGAGGCTGCGTTTGGCAGTTCTCGGCTTGATGCGGGATTCTCAGGGGCCGCTCTCCGACGCGACGACGCGTTGAGTGGTGTGATTAGGTCAGCAATTGATTTTAACATAGTGCAGGGCTCTTAGTCAATCCAGTCACACCCAAGAACATACCTTGAAGTTATTTCAAGGACTTCCCAGTTTACTTTGCAATCGGTCTGATAGATCTGAATATAGAACATTGGCAGACGGAAATACGAAGTTGAGGTCATCACGCACATAAATTGAGCACTGCAGCAACACTGGCTACTTACCTATACTGTTATCACTGAGAGAATTGGAAGAAGTCAAGAAGGTCTATGCCTTCGACCAGGAGCTACCTAGTAGGTACTCTACTTCTCCAAGGTTGTTTATAATCATTGTTAGTAGTCAGAGCTTAGCTTGCTTCAGCTATTCCAGTTCATACTAGAACGCGAACGGAAGCTAGTTGCATGTTACACTTTAATATTCCTTATTCTATGCATAAATTCGAAACCCTCTTTATCAGGTTTTTATTCCTTATCCTCTTCAATCCCAAGGGTATCTAATCTAGCCTTACCCCCCCCCAACAAAATTGATAGCTTTTGACCTGGCAATAACTGCCACATGATTACAACACCGTCTTCTTCCTTGAAGTTCTGGTGTAATGCGTCATCTGCCACTCAATGTCTCCATCCTGAGTCTCCAAGGTAGAGTTCATGATGCGGAATGCCCGCATGGTCATGCGAGGGCCGACCTCCGATAACTCCGGTTGGTCGAATCCCGTCCTAGCATGGATATGATGTCTCACTTCGATGCTGTCATCCGGTAGCCGCTTGGATGTGATAGTACGGTTGCCGGCCTTCATATGTGCGTCTCGAGGGGGAAACAGGTGTTGCAGGATGCGCTTCACGCGCTGCCCAAGCGGGGTGGTGAAGTCATCGAATATGAGATTCTGGTAGCTTTAGGGAATGTTTGCACGAAGGGCTAGAGGAATATCATTTCGGAATTGAACATTGTGTAAGCTGAAGAAGATCGTCGGGCCGTGGGGAAGATGTGATATCGTCAGAGCCGAAGGTGCGCCTCTGTGCTCGTGAATGTGCACGACATCCGAAAGACCGGCAGCATTGGCAGCCCTGACCAATTCAGACAGGGTCATGCCGCCACGGTTGATGCGTGTGGCGGTCGGGAGGAGAAGACGGAATTCTTTCGCAAAGGTCGTAAGCTTGCTTGAGGGGCATCGCGATGTGGTATAAGAACGCGCGGGTCCTTGATTCCAGACAGAACCTCGTATTCGTCATCCAAGCGGTCATTATCGGTGGTCTCGTCGTAAGCGAAAACTTTACGTAGTCGAGTATCGTTTGCCAGATGCGAGAGCTCCTTCAACTTGGACGCGACGATGAGCAACTGCACTCTCGTTGAGAGCCAGGGCTTGGCGGTAAAAGTAGTCCCTTCATTGTCAGACCTTGGGCCTTTCCTATATATATTCAGTAACAAGGCCAATGCGTTGGTTTCCGAGCAAGAGGTCGCTTCCTACCTGGAACATCGTGCTTTAACAGACGTCGAGAGTTTGACTTGGCAAGGAAAGAATCATGATCCGCTCGCACTAGTTGGGATGGTTTGGGTAGAAAATCAGATCCACAAATAAGCCAGTGGGTTGGTATGATTATGTAAGGCACTATAGGTTACGTTTAAGAAAGTTACGCTGGCTTGTTCATACTTGGGTTCCTTCTTTGATGTTTTTGTAATTAGGCCTTCGGGACCATGTAAATCTTCTTACCGATTCACTTTCTTTAGGTACATCTAGCACATACCATTTGGTCTTTATCTATTCTATAAACCCTCGGGATGGTTAGCCGTGAAGTCACCAGGGAACAGGGCAATGTATCTTGGTCAAACAAAGACACTGTATCTGTGTTACGGTACCGTTCACAAAAAGACTTGAGCTCAATAACAATCAATTGATTTTCATTTGAATCCTTTTTTTTCTAAGTGTCAAAAGGGATGATGAAGTGTGTGGGATAATGGCCTTGTCGAGAAACTTCGCCGTACTTTAGGGTAGCGCCCCCTGTGCTGTGATTTGATCGCTGTAACAAACCATTAAATGATTTCAATCTCGGGGGTCTCAGTGCGCTGGCCAACCCGTATCGGATAGCACTAGAGGGCGGGCAAACTTGCACTCAGCGCCAATCGGGTCATTTAATTGAGGCAAACCGAGCTGCCCCTCCCCGATTGATCTGGCTAATTGCGATAAGACAACCGTCGGGGACAAAGATGCGTCGCTAGGTATTGCCCTTCCCCAGACTGCTGCAAGTGGCTAGCTTAGAGGCAATTATTTGGCTGATAACGCTCGCCATGATAAATCGTGGACCCGGCGGGTTCGCCTATCACACGATTCATGTAGTGGGGAGGGGAACTGTTTACAGGAGGGGATATTTATTGATTACTCTTGGTTCTTGCATTACCACCTATGTACTATTGGTGGCGCAATCCGATTACATCGTCGTGTGTATTTTCTTACTGTTAATTACTGGCTTGTTAGACTACGGAGCAATTGGCATTTCCAAAATGACGAGCATCTGCCCTTACACCTCGTTTGAAGACAAGGCAAACTGGGCCCGATCCAAGCGAGATGCCTCTGTCGCCAAGGTCGAGCCCAAGTTGAAGGGTCTGCCCGCTGAGCTGCCTCTGAGCAGCCAGGATCTACCCAAGGCTGTCTTAACTTCGAAAGAAATTGAGATCACAGAAAATTACACCATAACCGAACTTTTGTCTGCGCTCAAGGAGAGAGCATTATCGGTGGAGGAGGTCACCAGGGCCTTTTTACGGCGAGCTGCGTTGGCCCATATCACGGTATAGTTTCTATCGGCACCCTTGAAAAGAAAACAATTGAAAGGCTAACAACTTTCTTATTAGACAAACTGCCTGGTTGAGCTGATGTGGGATGAAGCAATTGCCCGTGCAAAGCACTTGGACTCTCTTCCCGAACCAAAGGGCGCGCTGTTTGGCTTACCGATTTCTGCCAAAGAGCATCAGGGCATGGTTGGACCTAACGTCACCACATCAGCTTCATTTGGAGCCTGGATTGGGAAGCCGCACGGATCCAACCTCCTGTACGACACGTTTTGGGAAGAGGGCTGCGTCTTCTATGCTAGGACTACCCAGCCCCAGGCCATCATGCATCTGGAGACTGAGAGCCCCATCTATGGACGGACAACTAACCCGTACAATCGAGATCTTACCCCTGGGGGTAGTAGCGGCGGAGAGTCTGCGCTTTTGGGCTTGCGCGGGAGCATCTTGGTAAGTCTTCGCGAACCAATCAACTTGTGGCGAACAAGAGCGACGCTAATAAGACATAGGGTGTTGGTTCAGATATTGGAGGTAGCATTCGCTGTCCAGCCGCCCATGTCGGCGTATATGGTTTCAAGTGAGTTTGCAATGATTCTGCCATGTGTGGAGCGGATCCATATGCCAAAGAAGTAGGCGAAGCCTATAACAGATCCTTTCTAACTAGATACTCTTAGACCTAGCGCTAAGCGAATCGCGACAACAGGATTACGAGCTGCCAATGGTGGAAGAGAGACAATTCCTGGTTGCCCAGGTCCCATGGCTGTAGATCGTGATGCCCTGGAGCTCTTCATGAAGGTTGCCGTTGGAGCAGAGCCCTGGAATATCGACCCGTCTATTACCGTTAAGGAATGGATACCTCACAAGTTTACAGAACCTCTCAAGGTTGCCATACAGTGGTGGGATGGGGTTGTCCAGCCTCATCCACCAATGATTCGGGCGTTACGGGAGGTCGCGGATGCTTGCAGGAAAGCGGGCATGACGGTTGTAGACTGGGATTGCGAGCCCCTTGACCATAAAGGAGCTTGGGATCTGTTATCGGCTCTTTACTGGCCAGATGGCGGCAAGGAGGTCTTGAGTTTGATCGAAGACGCTGGAGAACCTCTCATGGACCTTACTAAGTGGATTATACTTGAACAGCCTTCGGTAAAGGAACTAACACAACACGAGCTGTGGAAGGTGAGTTTGAAATCCCTTGAATTCATAAGACGTTCGGCAATATTAATTAATTTTCTAGTTGTGTTGTCAGCGAGATGAGTATCGCGCGAGATATGCCAAGGCGTGGCGGGATAGCAAGAAGGATGATGGGAAGGAGGTCGACGTGATCATATGTCCGCCTTACTTCGGTGCGGCATCTACTCATGGAAACTCTCGTTACTGGGGTTACACAGCACAGTGGAATCTGCTGGATTATCCCTCGGCCGTCTTTCCTGTCACCACAGTTGACGCAGCCAAAGATCCCAAGGACGCTACTTACACGCCCAAGAATGACCAGGACGAATTTGTGTATAATCTCTACGATCCCGAGACGTACCAAGGCGCTCCGATCAGTCTCCAAGTTGTTGGGAAAAGGCAGCATGACGAGAAGGTTCTCGCCGCGTTGACCGAGATAGAAAGGGCCATGGGAAGGAAATAAATCGATAGAATCACATAGAATCAATTATTTACGTTTATAAACAATAAGAATCTTGCCCTAGGATCAACAACCATGTCTTAGTTCTGTATTCAAGTTCATTCGTGGAGCCCTGGAGTTGCTTTCGCCGCCCATATTCCCCATATTCCATTTCAACATCTCAGTGGTTTTCAATATGACCTGTTGATATCCGTGCTATTTCCTTGCCTCGCTTCGCGACCCCAGATATCTTCTCCACCATCGACTCCATCGCTATCAGACTGGGGCTTGTGTGGACGTGACCCATGTAGATGGGGCTGTCATTGCCACCTTCGCCGGAAACACTCTCCCGGTGATAGAAAAGTATCCTGCTAGACAATGGCAAGACTTTGTCTAATAGTCGAGTTATCGATAAATAAGCGGCTCGTCTGTTATGGCGACTGTTCGATTAGTTTTGGGTTATCTTTGGTTGGCCACTGCTCTAACATGACTCAAGAAACGAGGCAGAAAATGCCGCGATAAGAAATGGAGTAATGACGAGCGAAAGAGTGATAACAACCCCCCACAGAGCCCACTTGGGACGCAAGCTTAAGAGACTTATCTACCAGGACGGCCCTAGAATAACTATGACCGGTTAAAACAGTCCAGCCAATAGACAATAAGGTAATCAAAGCAGGGGAATGCCGCCTCACGGGACTCGGGGAAGGACAAGGTCTGGTCCTGTCCCAGCCCTTAGCCTCTCGCTAAGTATTGCCGCCGCATCTATTACGGAGTGACGAGTCATAGCTGATTTGGCAGATGACCCCAGTCCGTGGCACAACTCCCAATCGTGTGGTTCCTCATCGAGAGCGGTTCCTTCAACCCCAGACATTGAAGACTGGCATAGTTCGATGACAGGCAGGCAAGCGAACCCATGGGGGCGGAATGCAACCTTTCAAGATCGTTAGATATCAAGGGCAACTATTGGTGCTTCTTATCTCAGCTCGCATTTGCCTCTGTCCCTCCGTGGCCGGATTTTACAAATAGAAAACCCCGTCATTCCTCACCTCGCAACTTTCTTTTCTCAACAGGCCCAAGAGAATTACTCTTACCCTTGCCGAGAATTTCTTCTTCTTCTCTATTTTCATTCTTTCCACAATCAACCCTGACACTGGTCCGGTAGCCATCGTCAATCATGGCCGGCAGCAGTTCAACCATGGATGCTGATGCGATTGAGCGGCCCATTCCAGGAACCGTTCGTCTCATTGACACGGACGGAACCAAACTCGCAAAGCACGCGGATGGAAAAGGCCAGAATGATATCATCTTGGTCCCGCATCCCAGTGAAGACCCTGAGGATCCCCTCAACTGGTCCCGCAAGCGCAAGTTGCTCGCCACCAGCTGTGTGCTTATGTACACGATCATGATCGCAATCCCGTCCAGCGCTGTCTACTCAGTCGTAACACCTATCCGTCTAAACACCTCGCTCAGTCTGACAGATATCAATAATGGAACTGGTATTATGGTGAGTTTAGTTTAGAAAAGAACGGGAGACATGAATATCACTCTAACATGCTCCAGTTTCTCTTCTACGGCTGGGGCTGTGTACTTTGGCAAGCTATTGCGCTTCAGTACGGAAAACGACCTACGTATTTATTCTCACTCGTCGCAAATGTCATCGTTCTGGCTTGCGCTCCTCTGTGCACAACCTCGGGCCCATA